AAGCAAGCATGTATCAAACCAGGTATATAACCAAGTAATGTTAGCAGGATATTAATAACCAAGTCGGTACCGCAACCTTTCTCGAAAAATACACCAACAGGCTAAAAAAAAAAAAATTATTTAATTTAAAAACAAAAAAAAAAAATTTAAACATTTTAAATAAATCAACAAAAATTTAAATCATTATCATGAATTTAATCATTAATTTAGTAGACGAAAAAAAAAAATGTTTTGCTATCATAAAAATAAAAAAAAATCCTTTATAGAAACTAAAAAAAAGAAAAATTAAAAAGCACCAATGGAATGAATTATTAGTATTGAATTTTAAATTAATTTGTCATTTTTTTTTTTGGATTATAAAACTTTATAAATTAAATTCACAAAATTCTTATATGTACATAAAAAATTTTTATTATTTTATTTCAATCTTTCAAACATTTTAGCAATCAGTTCAATTAGCACATATTTAATTGCTAGATAATATAAGTGCCGCAATTGGTATTAATTTTAAAATTAATTGTGTCAATTTTTACTGTATTTTTATTTTTAAAAAATTATTATAATAATGGTTTTTGTAGTGATTAATTCTAAAACCTGAATTTATTTAAAATTCATTTAAAAAAAATTGGAAATTGAGAAAAGCTATTATATGATGTCATCATATTCAAAAAAAAAAAGGAAATTAATAAATAATAATAAAAGAATAAGAATGTAAAAGTGGTTTTTTTTTTTTTTTTTTTTTTTTTTTATCGGAGAAACAACTACGATGTTTAATTTAATAAATGAAAAAATTTTTTGAATAATTAAATCATTTTATTGATAATTTTTTTAAATTTTTTAAAGTTTTATTTTTTTTTTTTGATAATTTAGGCATAATAATTTGAAGAAATAAATTATATAGTAAAAATAGAAGCGAAATATATAAATTATAAAAAAATTAAATTATTTATTTGAAAAAGGTAAAAAAAAAAAAAAAAAAGGAAACTTACGGGTATAATTACGGAACAACATATCTTCGGGCAATCACTACAGGTCAATGGCATTTTTTCGTTATTAATCGATGGTAGATTGTGATAAATAAAAGATTAAAAAAATTGCCGATCACAATTATTACGACTTTTAATCAATCTGTAAATTTGTGATAAATAAAAATAAAGAAATAAAAATGCAAAAAAAAAAAAAGCAAGTTAACAACTTTTAATTGTTATTGATAAAAATAATGATAATTTAATATAATTTTACAATAATTAAATGACAATTTTAAATATTTAAAAGTAACATATGATCATAATATTTATCAAAAAGTAAATAAATGTAAATAATGATTTATATCAATTAATCTTATCAACTTATTCATTTCAAAGAAAACAAAAAAAAACAAGAGAAAAATCAGGAAAATTAATAGCAATAAAAAAATAATTTTATAAACATTTGATAAATTATCAGATTCACCAATTTGAGATAATTGAAAGCGGAAGTAAAACAATGGAAAATCGGATATTAATTTTTGATCAGGAAAACAGGTTTTTTTTTTTTTTTCAATTTTATGCTTGCTTGTTTTTTATTTGAATAATTAATCATACGGTGAAAATGGATTTTCTTTCTGTTTTTTCGAATTATGTAATTTACAACAAAAAATTATACTTATTATTAAAAATTACTAGAATTTATACAAATCAATTATCATTAATGTCAAAGGTCAGAGGGATAGTTAATTTTGAATGGAATAAGTAATGAAAAAAAAAAAAAATTTTAAATTTGCATTAAAAAAAAAAAAACTAAAAATGATTAAAGAATATTTCTTTTTCTTTTCGCATAATAAAAAATTAATTTGTATAATAAATAATATTAAAAAATTAAAAAAGAAAAACAACAAAAAGAGTTACACTGAGCGATTGTTTTTTTTTTTTTTTTTTTTATTATTTTTTCTTTGTTAAAAATAAATTTATATTTAAAATTTAATGCAAAATTATTTTTTTCATAATTACTAAGATAAAAAATTTTTCTTTTTTTTAACAGGAAAAAATCATTATAAAGTCCTATTATCAATCATAGATGATGGATCAGTAAGCCGGATTTTGCATATGTCCAGTTAAGCATAAACCGGATTTGTTTGTTCTCAGTCAAATTTTCCGGATTTGTTTTGTTCTCAATCAAATTTTTATATCACTGTTATTGTTTATAAATTTTAATTAACAAAAATTATTTCTTTGTTTACTAATCAAATAATCCTGTGTGCAAGTTAGAATAATTATTAGGCAGATAGGTACAATTATGATTATTCGGCAATTGCGTACAATTATGATTATTCGGCAATTAACAATGATAAAAAACTTGACTGATCTATCGGTATAACAAAAAAAAAAGAAAATTCTTCAAGTAAAAAATTTTACAATTATGATCTAAATTAATTTTTTTTTTCTTTTTTTTGCTGCAAAATTTTCTGGACATATATAAAAAAAAATTTATATCAAAAATACATGGAAAAATTTATATAAACTTTAAATTTATATAAATGTAAATTTTATGAGAAATTAATGCAACGAATACAATTAATTAGTAATTAATTATTAATTAAATGATTGTAGATGAATAGAAATTTGATCAATAATATATTGGAATATTGAAATATTGAAATTGATGAAAAATTCTTCAAAGAATTAAGATTTTTGTTCTGTAAATTTTAAAAAGTTTTATCAAATGGTACGGCAAAAATAATCGTAAAAAATTAGATACGAGAAAAATCATATTTTTATTGTTTATTTATCATGAAAAAATCATTGATTTTGCTTATCATTTTTTGGATGATAAGAAATTAATTTAGTCAGGGAATAGTGATCAAATGATAAGGAATACTAATATTTTTTGTGCAATTCAGTAACAATTATACTTTTATAGCATTAAAAATAAATAAATCTATTAAAACTTATGAATTTTGCTTATGAAAACTTATGAATTTTGCTTATTAAAACTTATGAAAGTGTTTTTTAAAAAAAATGCAAAATATTTTTTCTTAATAGGCAAAGAAATTTAATCAATGCTTATCATTTTTTATCATGATTTTAGTTGCAATATTTGCAGAGTAATTTTTCCATTACATCGTTATGATAACAAAGAAAAGATTGGTCATTGAGTAAAGTATTTTGATATCGATAATAGAAGAAGAAGAAGTAATTGAATATTATTTATAATAATAATAATAAATAACATACTTTGATAAATTTAAAAATTAAAAAAAGAGAGAGAAAATTTCATTTACATATTATAATAATGATAATAATAATGATGATGATGATGATGATGATGATGATAATGATAATAATGACAATAATAATAATAAATTAATAATAGTAATAATAATAAATTAATAATAATAGATAATAGAAGAAGAAGAAGTAATTGAATATTATTTATAATAATAATAAATAACATACTTTGATAAATTTAAAAATTAAAAAAGAGAGAGAAAATTTCATTTACATATCATAATAATGATAATAATAATAATGATCATCATCATCATAAATTAATAATAGTAATAATAATAAATTAATAATAATAATAAATTTTTAATAATAATAACAAATTAACTTTTAATCAATAATTAATAATAACAATATATAATAATAGTAATAATAAAATTAATAATAACAATAAATTAACTATTTGATAAAAACTTAAATGATATCATCAACTACTATAAATAACAAAAAAAAAAATAACAAAAAAAAAAAAATAAAACCTATCATTCCTTTATAATAAATTATTCAAATATTCAAATCATTTTTTGAATAATCGCAGAATCGAGAAATGACATTTTATAAAATTTTCATTTTATAATCATAACAACGAAATAAATGATAGCTTATCATTCGTATAAAATGTAAAAATTATCAATTTAATATTACAAATAAAATTGTATGAAATTTATTCGTTCTTTTCTTGTTGATCGAATTCATCAATTTATCAAACATTTTTGAAAAAAAAAAAAAATCCACAAATTTTATTATATTTATATGTGCTGATGAATCATCAAATTTGTCATAAAAATTTTTAAAAAAAAAAAAAACTGAAATCTTTTGAAGTGAATTTAAAAAAAAATATGCATAAGAAGCAAAAAATAGCAGTAAATTTATTGTTAATTAGTAAAATTAGGTTGTAGAATTGAGGAAAGCAGAATTATCGACTTGCAAATGCATGCAGAAATGCAGTTTTGCATGCAGAAATGTATATAAATTCATCATGCAGATAGATAGGCAAAACACAAACAGGAACGCATCTGAAAATGTGAAATAAAACATTGATTGACCCAGTTCTTAAGTGAGCAAAAAAAAAAAAACAGAGAGAGAGAGAGAGAGAGAAAAAGAAATTTCTTTTGTTTATGAGGGAGGGAGAGAGAGAGAGGGAGGGAGAGAGAGGGTGGAGAAACCTGTTTGACAAAAGAGTTTGTTCGAGAAAAATTGTTATTGTTAGAAGAAATTGTGTCGCAGATGACCTCTCTATATGCGACAATGACCTCTTTCTTTTGTCCTCTATACTCCTTCTTCCTACCTTTGGTTGTGTTTAAGTAAAATAACTTAAAAATTTAATGCATTCAGCAAATTTTATCAATTTTAAATTTAAATCAAATTAATTACCAATTCTTCGGCAGGCAGAAATTGTTCTAACATTTAATTTCTTTCAATTTTTTTTTTTTTTTGATAATTGAATAATTTAATTCAAATATAAGTATATTAATACATTCATACTGATCCCAATATAATATAGGAAGTCTTTTAATCAGTATTTAAAATTTCTAAATTATTAATCAATTAAATTCAAGGAAATCAATTGAAAATTATTACATCTAAAAAAAAAAAATAGCAGAAAATTTCATATTTATTAATCAAAATTGCAAATGGATATTTTATAATTTATTAATTAAAAATTTATTAAAAATTATATGAATTTTTCTATCACTGATAAATTCACAGTTTCCTCTAATCATAAAAAAAAACTAATTAAACATTAACGGTGATGATTCTGATATTAAGATATGATATCATATCATCGGTGATAATTCTGATATTAAAATATGATATCATATCATCGGTGATAATTGTGATATTAAGATATGACATCATATCATCGGTGATAATTCTGATATTAAGATATGACATCATATCATCGGTGATAATTCTGATATTCAGATATGATATCATATCATCGGTGATAACTCTGATATTAAGATATGACATCATATCATCGGTGATAATTCTGATATTAAAATATGTTATCATATCATCGGTGATAATTTTGATATTAAAATATGTTATCATATCACCGGTGATAATTTTGATATTAAGATATGATATCATATCATCGGTGATAACTTTGATATTAAGATATGATATCATATCATCGGTGATAATTGTGATATCAAGATATGTTACCGTATCATCGGTGATAATTCTGATATTAAAATATGTTATCATATCATCATCAACATAAATTATATAAAAAATGAAGGTGAGAAAGAAACAATTGTAAGTTTAAAATAAAAACGAATAAAACAATAAAAATAAAATATTTTAAAAGTTGTAGTTCATGAATGAAATGTTAAATGTGATTACTTTTATCATTTGATAACACTTAAGCGAATACATTTTCATTGAGTTTATCAATATATTAAAATTATTTTTTAAATAAATAAATAGCAAATTTGTTAAAAATTGATTTAAAATTTTGAAAAAAAAAAACTATATATATTTAAAATTTAAAAAATAAATAAATAAATATATGTTAAATGTACTGTAATAAAAAAAAAAAGATTAAAAACTAAAATTTGTTTCTTTGTTTTTTTTTTTTTTTTTGTTACTTTTAAAATTAATGGAGATGCATTTACTGTTATTTGTTAAAATGATTTGGTATAGAAATTATAGCAATTAAGTTTCGTTTTAATTGCATGTTCACATATTAATAATATTATTTTCGACAAATATTTAATTTATATAATTGAAATGTATTAATTTTATTAAATTTAAAAAATATTTCGGCAAAAAAAAAAAGAAATTAATGAATTTAAAAAGTTTAATAAACTACAAAAATGTGTAATTCAATAGATATAGTATTTAAAAAAAAAAAAAAAAAAAGTTAATAATCGAATTGTTTGTAATAATAATCAAATTATCATTCAAATCATATTTTATCAGTTTTTTTGTTTTTTGTGAAATTAAATCTCACATTAAAATTGAAGCATTAGTTGTTTAAAATTTCAATGAAAATTGATACAAATTGAAAATATAACAAGTGTAATTGTATAAAAATACAATGTAATATTATAACTGAAATAATAATCATATTTTTAATTTTATGTTTGAAAAAATTTTAATTTCTTTTTTCAAATATTATTTTTATTAATGCTTAACGCTTAATAATATTACATTAAATTTTACACAATTTTAAATTCAAACAATTTGAGTGAATGATTTTACATTAAAATGGAAGAAAAATTTTTTATTGAAGTGGAAAAGATATTTTTAACTTTTTAAACATTCATAGTTATTAAACTGCTTAACATTTGCTGATCGTTTGGAATAATAATAAATGTAAGAATAGGAAATCAAAGACAGAAATATTTTTGAATGATAGCAAAATGTGATAGAATCGAGTACTGATGAAAAAGCGAATAGATGGATGATAGTAATAGGATGATATTTATTGAATTTGATGATTAATAGAAGAGGAAATAAAAATGAGAGAGGAAAAGGAGAAGGAATAGGAGGAGGAGGAGGAGAAGGAAGAGAAGGAGGAGGAGGAGGAATAGAAGGAGGAGGAGGAGAAGGAAGAGAAGGGGGAAGAGGAGGAGGAATAGAAGGAGGAGGAGGAGAAGGAGTAGAAGGAGGAGGAGGAAAGGGAAGAGAGGGAGGAGGAGGAGGAATAGAAGGAGAAGGAGGACGGGGAGGAAGAGGAGAGGAGGAAGAGGAGAAAGAGGGGAGGAAGAGGAGGAGGAACAGAAGGAAGAGGGGAAAGAATAGAAGGAGGAGGAGGAGAAGGAAGAGAAGGAGGAGGAGGAGAAGGAAGAGAGGAGGAGGAGAGCGAAGAGAAAGGAGGAGGAGGGAGATGAGGAGAGATAAAGGATGAAAATGATGAGTAAAAGTCATCAAACTTGTTTGAATATAAATAGATGATGGATAGGAGTGAGAGAAGGAGAGAGAAAGAGAGAGATGGAAATACAGAGATAGAAGAAGAGGGATAGAAGAAGAAGAAATAGAGAAATAGAACGAGAGGGATAGAAAGAGAGAGATAGAAATACGGAAATAGAAGAAGAGGGATAAAAGAAGATAGAAATGGAGAAATAGAAGGAGAGGGATAGAAAGAGAGATAAATAGAGAGAAAGAAAGAGAGAGAGAGAAGGAGAGAGGAAGAGAAGGGGAACGGAGAAGAAATAATAAAATTAATATAGGAAAAAAGGTTTAATTATTTGAAAATGAAAATATTAATTGAAAATTCAATTAATAAATAAATTATGAAATAAATATTAGCTTATATAAATAATATAATATTGACAAAATAATTTTATTTATTAAAAAATGGAAAAATAATTTTATTTTATAAAATTAAAAAATGGAAAAATAATTTATTTTTTATAAAATTAAAAAATGGAAAAATAATTTATTTTATAAAATTAAAAAATGGAAAAATAATTTATTTTTAATTAATTAAAAAATGGTATTAAATTATAAATGAATTGGAAAATAAATAATAATGAAGGCAATAATATAAATAACAATAATAATAATAATTACAATGATTAAAAAAAATTATTTATCAAATATTCCATAAATTGATGAAAATTAATGTGAAAAAAATTTTTGTGAAATATAACAAAAAGATGTAATAATTTAAGTTTAATTTTGTTTAAAAATGAGAAAAATAGAAATAAAAACAAAAAACAAAACAAAACAAAATGATAAGAAAGAATAAAATATTAAATAACAAAAAAGAAGAGGGAGAGAGAGAGAGAGAGAGAGAAAGAAAGAAAGAAGAAAGGGAACGAATTAATGATTTATTGATGTAAAAGTGATAAATTGATGTTAACGTAAGCAAATGATGGACAGAAATGAGAAATTCAAAAAAAAAAAAAAAAAAAGAGAGAAAATATCAAATTTGAAAATTTAACAAAAAAAAAAATTTTGCCTTACATATAAATATAAAATAAAAATATATATATAAAAAATAAATATAAAACAGTTTTTTTTTTTTCAACCAAAATTAAATTTAGTCTTTGAAATATTGAAATTTTTTGAATTAATAATATAAGATGAAAATTATTTATTATTACCATCAATAAATTTTACTTTTTAAAATGAAATTAAATTTTTATAAAATTTAAAATTTTCAACAACCAAAAATTAAACATAAAATATTGTAATTATCATTGCTTAAACAATAAAAATATTATCAAAACTATAGTAGTAATTTCAATAAATTTTATTTCAAATATTTCTATTGTTGGTGACAAATTGGATGACACAAAGATATTGGCTAATTTAGCATTTTGCTTACATATAAATATTTTTTTAAAGATAAATTAAACTTAATTTTTGAAATATTGAAATTTTTTGAGTTAATAATATAAGATGCAAATAAATTATTATTACCATCAATAAATTTTACTTTTTAAAATGAAATTAAATTTTTATAAAATATTAAATTTTCAACAACCATAAATGTTACTTCTTAAAATGAAATTAAATTTTTAAAAGAAATTAATTTTTGAACCATCGATTTAAACATAAAATATTGTAATTATCGTTGCTTAAACAATAAAAATATTATCAAAACTATAGTAGTAATTTCAATAAATTTTGATTTCAAATATTTCTATTACTGATGACAAATTGGATGTACACAAAGATATTGGCTAATTTAGCAAATGATATATTTATTTTGATAAAATGCTAATAGAAATTAAATTTCTCACAGCTTTTAAGCAGCATATTTATCATTTGAAACGATAAATATTCGAAGGGGAAAAAAAATAAATGACAATGAATAAGCAATTGGTAAACAAATAGCTATCATAAAAATAATTTCTCTTTATGAAGCTTTTTCTTTTCCCTTTTTCCCCTTTTTTTTATTATGTTTACAAGTTTTTATTCGTCAATAAACTTTTATTCTTTTTTTTTTTTTTAATGACTCATTAAAAAAACTTAGATATAACTATTTGCAAAGATATTATTAGCTTAGCTTTTACATTATTTTCTACTCTATTTATGTGCCATAATTAATTTTCAACTATTTTTAATCATTGATCATCTAATATCTTGTAATCTTGTAATTCCAATTGTCAGAAAATAAGAGATAACAAAGAGATCAAAATTGCTTATTATAAATTGATTGATTGATGATCGATTGATTGATAAAATGATCAGAAGAAAGCATAATGAAGATGAATGAAGAATGATCAAAAAATATGGATAAATTTGTTGATATTTGGAAGGGAAAGTCAAAAAAAAAATATGTGTGTAAATTGTTGATGTTGGAGAGGAAAAGTGCAATAAGATTTTTTTTTTTTTTTTGAGCCCTTTTGCTATTTTTTATTTATTTATTTTTCCCAACATAACATTATAAAGCTTATAGCCTATAGCAGAATTTCACATCTCTCTGTTATTTCTTTGATTACCAAATGCTAATTGGTATTGCTTCTAAATCGATAAGAAATAATTTTAAATGAACAGAAAAAAAAAAAAAAAAAAAGAAGAAATAGCTTCATTTCATATTCAAAACAAAAAAAAAAAAATACAACATTTAAATCAAAATAAATAATGCTGGATTTAGATATAATTTTAATGAGTGCTAGTTAAACAGTACATCACTTTCTCTCTCATCTTCTAAATCATTACTAAAAATTTATCAAGCATACTTAATTGTCAGAATTTTTAAAATCATTATTCTAACTAATAAATAAATGTTCAGATTACCTCATATGGATATACATTTATCAACAAATAACTATTGTTACATTCTCAAATAAATGACCTCAAAAATGACAATAACAAGAAGAGCTCAACAAATAACACAGAGAGAATAAAAAACATAACTTTTGAAATCAATTAATGCACACTATTAAACTTCAGTTATAGGATAAGAGGATTTACAGAGTATTAAAATAAACATATTGGATATACAGATAACATAAAATGAACACATCGATAATCTAAGTATTATTTAACTTTTTGTTTTTCTTTTTTCTAGTGGATTTATTAAAAGCTGTTCATCATAATGTATTTTGTCCGCTACTTTCACATGTAAAACTACCATCTTCAGGATTTCCAGCAGCTGCTTCCAATGAATCAACCTCTTTCGAATATTTTCCAATTAATTCATGAGCAGCTTTTAATGAATCCATTAAATCTTGAATTTCTTTGTTAATTTCACTTCTTGCATTGTTAATCATTTCTTGCGTTCGTTTACGCACAAAAGGAACTGA